GCCCCATGCCTCTCGATGGTGAGCCCCCCCGTTCAGAATCACGGCCAGCATGGGGCAGCTGAAGACGACTGCTGTGGCCAGGCAGAGAGATAAGCAGCGTCGCTGGCTGCACGGCGCCCAGCTGCAGGCTGACGCAGCTCCCACCCTCCCTACATGCATTCATCCACAACTCGAAAAGAATTTGACGACGAATCATTTGGCGTACGACTGTCTGCGTCTACTCCGATGCCTGCAACCAGAAATCTGGTTGTCACGATGAGACCCCCCATGAATGAAAACATCAAACCAACCCTTTGCCACCATACACTTGGCTGATCTTGTCAACCTCATGGCCAACCTGCTTCATGTATATACCAGGTGGCTGACTCACGCCGCGCACTTCTGGAGTTGTACTGTACCGCATGCACGGGTGCGGGCTGGTTGCCTACTAGCACGGGGCCACAAGGAGCCGTGGACAGCAGCGTTGATTGGATAGGCAAACGCGCCCGCACTAAGCAATAGGAAAGAAAAGGAACAAAAACCTGCAGGTTTAATTTGCCAGACCAAGCCTCCTTTATTGTGCGTATACCTAGCCCAACAACTGCTGCATGCCACCGTAGTGCCAAAGCACGGCCCGGAAAGTATAAAACATGGGCCTAATGCGGGGATAAATAATTATATGAGGGGTCGCTATGTGCATCTGGTTGCGCTGCACATCTCTTCTCCCCTCTCCCCTTCACATGTGCGTGCGTGTGTGTGTGCGCACGGCTTTGTCGAGGCGCTGGGCTGCATGCACGTGTGCAGCACAATGAGTGCAAACTCCCCCTCCAGGTACATGACGTAACGCATTGCGCCGTGGCCTAGTGCTGTGCAGGTCCGAGTAGTCCTGCGCCCGCCTCCCTGGCGTGCCGCTGTGTAGCGCGTTACCGCTCCGTGGCGCGCTTTAGAATGCGAGAGTTGCGGGGGCACGTATGTGTGTGCACTCCCACTCAGCGTTTCGGTAAGGAAGTGGCAATGTTTCGCTCTAGAATCAATAGAGTCCTCTCTACAGACTTTCGCTCCTTCTCTGTACCCCTTCCAGCCCCGCGGCCATGTGGCTTCCTGCCCCCCCCCCCCCCC